AGTCGAGAACAATACTACAGATCAAAAGGTTAAACATCTTCAATGCGAGCTGAAGAAGGAAATTGAAAATAATACAAAACTGTTATTGGATAAAAAGAAATTAAAAAGACGGATAAAGCAAATGGAAAAGAATTTTGATCATTCCCAAATCCTATGTAGCAATACGTCGATAGGCAAATGAAACAATGGCTGTGCTACTTTTCTCTTTAATCGAAGTTGCACACTATTTTATTATCAAGAATAAACAATAAAAGTCTACAAAATTCCTTACATATCAATTGATTTCTAGGAGTGGAGTGTGCGTTATTTTTTTAAATGACTCATGGTACAATTATAAAAGGTAACAGCAAATCCCAGCTGATTCGATTTCAACTTAATACTAGTGTCAATATGAATTTGACAAATTATGTTTTTAAAAATCACCCAACAGGAAAATTGGGAACGCGCATATAATTTGAAATTGTTCTTTATTAAATGTGCTCCCATATTCAATTTACTCAATCTGCCTACTGGGAAAGTTTGAGGAAGCAAATCTTTCTTCAAGGAATAACTTGCTATTCCCAGCATTTTCATATGTGTTACACATATATATGGCAATGGCTCAAGTATAGGAAAAATCTGGAAGCGATAGAAATATAAATTTTTTAGATTTTCATTCATGTTTTTCAAATTTTATTTTGAGGATTCGAAAATATTTCAGTTTCAAAATTAATATAATTTGTTTGTTTATTTACATTTTTCTGTTAAATGACGTTGACACTAGTATAACTTACAACAACAAATTTCCATGTGGTTGTTGTATCGTTTGTTGTACAACGGATGAAGCGAAAATAGTACTATTTACTGACAATTTTTATCCAAATTCATACAAATTATTTGTTCCAAATTATTAAGATTTAATATTGTTAAATATTTTGAAGTTCCCTGCCGCTAGAATATATAAATATAAGTTGTAATACACAGAAAAAGTAATTCGTATATTATATGAATAGTGTTCAGAAAGCGGAGTAGGGAAATATTGGCTTTCTCATGGTTATAAGAATTTTTACATGTATTCAAAGCAAGGTACATTTACAATATGGAAAAATAAACTATTCATTAACAATTTTTTTCTGTGTACCAATAGCTATATAATGAGAACAATGTGTCAACAAATTGGTTGTTGTATTTTCGATAACACATAACGCAACGGATGGCTCAACGCGAGCATTCTGCTTAGCCCTTTAAGGGGTTGATATATACAAAAACGCGACGGACTTGGTCTGTTCCCGTACTGCAAGAATCTACTATTTTTTACTCCGATAACACTTTTTTCCTTTGTGATATCGAAGAAAATAGTAAAATCGAGTAGATTCTTGCAGTACGGGAACAGACCAACTGTAGTTTTAAAGTAGACCAGTAGTTTTAAAAATTTTCCTGAACCAAGCCTTAGTTATTTTTGAATATGCAACAAAAAATTAAATAACTGATGAGGATACTAATTTTTGTGACTTTCCCAAAAGTAATCAATGTGATTATAAACCATTTTAAAAATCTTTTTTATTTTTAAATTTCGGACCTACATATGATAATCAAATTTATGCATAATAGGTTCGATAATTGCCTGGAGTATGATTTTCGTCTTTAAAGACAATAGCAATTGTCTTTAAAGATATTACAAAACTCAAAACGTTTTGATACCGACATCAAGAAATATGATGGAGGCGTTTTAGTGGCGATTCAATATAGTAAATACCAAAAAATGGGTATTTATCGGGTATATACAATCTCTATGAATCTGCTATCCATACAGATGTGGTGCAACTTAGTTTGAATAGTCTTTCGATACCGGTTAGATGAATCACAGGATCCCTTTGTTCCTGTGATTCATCAGTTACCGTAGTTTTTTGTTGGCATATTCTCCCCACAAGTAATGTATACCTTCTTTACAAAAAAAAAAAAATATTTCATTTTTTAAACAAAGTGGCGAGTATTGACACAATTTTATTCTTATCTAATTTAAGTGTATGTGTGTTGTGGTTTAATATACATAAGTATAGGGAAATCACCTATCTTTATGCGTAATTATATTCTGCATCGTATAGCAATATATACAAAATCATTTATAAACCGAACAAAAGACTAGATATCGTTAATTAATAATTGAAAGAATTAAAGCAAAAATGACTGGCCTTAAGCTAATGTGTCCAATATGTACCGAAAATTTTGCGGAATCTGATGAAATTTTTAGTACCAGTTGTGGGCATTTGTATCACATGGCATGTATGCATGAATGGAGAAGTCGGTAAATATTGTTTCACCACTCATTGTCTTTAATTAAATTCCTTTTGGAATCATATGTATATATTTTTAGAGCCACTAGTTGCCCTCAATGCCACGAAGAAAATCCTACGTCCCATAAGATATTTTTAATTTTAAACGATGATCGGAAAGTGCCACAATCAGTTCCTTCTACAGTAGTTTTCGTTTATAGTCCACAACTATAGTTGCACAACTTTTGTGGAATATAAGCGAATTTGGACTATATCCGAATTTCGTTTTAAGTCCATTACTGGATTATAACTGAATCGTGATATAATACACGTCATGGACTATACACAAAACATGTACTTTTCTAAATAAAATTTAAGTTTTTTAAAACAAATTCATATATTTATTTAAAATAAATAAATTGTTTAAACAATAACTTATTATTTTTTTAATTCAAATGCTTTGAAAGCTTATTGTAACGAAAAAATTAAATTATGAGATCCATTTTAAGTCTTTGGGGGATTAAATAAAAAAATCGAATTGCTCACTATTTTTAAAAAAAATCAGTAATCTTAGTTTGCTTCTTTTTTATGGAACTTATAACAAACGACTCTATTTTTTCAAAAAATGAGTTTTGTTCAATTTCGTTGTCTGAACAATATCTTCTTAATATTTCAACGGAATCTAGAGCTTCTTTTAAAGTAACTTTGGGTTGCTTGGAATAAAAAACTTCAGCAGTGGGTTCCTCCTAATTAAAATTATTATGACATTCTTCAACAGATTTGTCCGAAACCACATCATCCAAAATATCTGCATCATTTAACATTCCATAGCAAATCAGTTCGTCATCACAATGCTGATATTCGGAGGAAAACGTCAAAACTTCGCTTACACAGTTTTCCTCCTCTTCAATCTCAATAGTATCTCTATTCTGATTAAAACCGGCCTGAAAATATAAAAAATAAACGTATTTAGAAATATGAAAAAAATATTTTTATAAATATAGTGCATACCTTTTTAAAACAGTTTCCAATACATTCAGGCTTAACTAACCACCAGGCCCGCTTTATGAAATGCAAAGCATCCAATATGGTTATTGATTTAATATATTCGGAAACGGTTTTTCCTCTTTCAATAGCACAGATCTGCTTCTTAACAATGATCTGTCTATAATGCTGCTTAAATGAGTGGATTATTCCTTGATCAATAGGCTGGATTATAGCTGTAGTATTTGGAGGAAGATACTGAACCGTAATATTTGTTAAGTTTATTGTGGTCTTATGACACGACGCACTGTCAACAAATAGGATTATTTTCATTTTTAATTTTTTCATATCTTCCTCCAATATTAAAAGTATTTCATTCCAGATATGAACAGTCATCCAACTATTTTTATTTGAAAAGTATGTAATGGGAATGTTTTTATTTTTGAAACATCGTGGCCGTCCGGGCTTTCCAATCACAAACACACGTTTATAGGAACCTGTTGAGTTACAAATGAAGAGAAGTGTCAAGCGGCTTTTCTCCATTTTCCATCCTTTTGGTGGACTGCCTTTGTTAAAGTATGTTGTGTTTGGTAATGCTTTGTAATATAAACCGCTTTCGTCTCCATTAAAAATGTATTCTGGTGCATATTCTTGAACAATTTTAGGTAACTGGTTGTGTATAAAGTTTGATGCTTCATATTCATCACTGTCCTTCGATTCCCCACTGATTTTTCCAACACATATTTTGTTGCGTTTCTTCCAATGGAATAGCCATGATGTATTTGGCTCAAAATCTTTTTCTAATTTCACTGCAAATTCTTTAGCTTTGTTTAAAAGCATCAGGCCAGTCACCACTGCATTCTGGCCACGCATTTCATTAAACCATATAAGAAGCGCCTTTTCAATATCAGGGTGATCACCTTTTCTTTGACGCAATGTTTTTAGATTGCACGAATTGGAAGCTTTTTTAATTTTTGAACTATTTTTGATTATTTTATAAACTGTTGATTTATTTACTCTATACTTGGCACTCAGTTGTCCACATTTCATATTATTTTCTTCATAGTCTTTCAATAATTTTAATTTTTTCTCCACACTCAATGTAACGCGCGTACCTATTTTCACAACTTCTATGAATCTAGCAATTTTTGACATTTATAAATGTTGCCAGAAATCCAAATGCCATTCAAGTTCAAAAAACTGGGTGGCCTATATGAAAATTTCAAAAAACAGGTGCCAGAAATCCAAATGTCATTCAAGTTCAAAAAACAGGGTGGCTTATATGAAAATTTTTTCTATGCAATATTAGTTTTGCATGCACAGAAAATGTGGCCTATAAACGAAAATGGACTATAGGCGAAGTGGACTATAGAACAAATAATTTGTATGAATTTGGAAGAAAAATGTCAGTAAATAGTACTTTTTTCGCTTATATCCGTTTTTGGCCTTTAAGCGAAATGGACTATAAGCGAAAACTACTGTATTGACATTGTGAAAGAACTACAAGCAAGACTAGATTCAAGCCTTGACAAAATACATGAACTTGAGGAACAGTTGAGTGAAAATGGAAGCAATTTTCTTCAAATGCATGAACAATATTCTCTTGAACAGGAAATGAGAATAAAACTGCAACGGGCCATTACAGATGAACATTTTCTCCAAATGCATTCGTTATATTCCAAATAAGAAGATCGAGTGAAAATATTCCAAGAGGAAATTCTACATCTTACTGCTGAAAATGAACGTAAATCTGAAGAGATTAGAATGAAAGAAAATGAAATTTTAATTCTGAAAACATCTTTACAATCAACGAATAAAAAGATAGCAAACGAAGCCGAAATCAAACAACAATTGCAGCAACAACTCTCAGAGAACGAGAATAAGTTTAAGGATTTACAGCAAGAAAATACTCGCCTTGTTAATAAGAACGAATATAACATAAAACAACTGGCATTGAAATCAAGGGAAATGTCTGTGTTAAAGGAATTTCTGAACCGAAAAATCGGAAATTCTGATAAAGCTGCAACTAATACTCCAGTGACTGAGATTGCGAACATTTGCAAACGCAATGTCGAAAATGCTATCGACAACAATACTACAGATCTAAAGATTAAACATCTTCAATATCAAATGGAGAAGGAAATTGAAAATAATACAAAACTGCTATTGGATAATAAGAAATTGCAAAGTCAAATTCAACAAAGTGCAAAGTGTGTTGATACGAATGATCAATGATGAAATATGAATGAAATTAATTATTTTTATTTTTTCATTCTACATATTAATTTACTTACCGTGATTTCAAAGTACGAATACCACATAGAAGAGATCACAATGTGTTTTACATACTTTTTTATATGAAATATAACAATTCTCAAAAATTAAAAGACAAACTAGTGCCTGTTTTAATAATAACTTTAAAACATGCGGACCATCAATAATGACTAATCTGTATGACTAATATATATATATATATGTATGTATATAGTTTTCAGAGCAAAACAGGTTTGGGGACACAACGAAAAGTACAAAACACTTAAATTAGATATGCAAAATGACGAAACGGAATTTTGCATATCTAATTTAAGTGTATATGTTTTGCGGTTTAATATACATAAGTATAGGGGAATCACCCATCTTTATGCGTCATTATATTCTGCATCGTATCGTATACAAAATCATTCATTTACAAACCGAGCAAACGACTAGATATCGTAAATTAACTATTGAAAAAATAAAAGTAAAACATGTCTGGGCTTAAACTAATGTGTCCAATATGTACCGAAAATTTTGCGGAATCTGATGAAATTTTTAGTACCAGTTGTGGGCATTTGTATCACATGGCATGTATGCAGAAATGGCGAAGTCGGTAAATATTGTTTCACCACTCATTGTCTTTAATTAAATTCCTTTTGTAAACATATATGTGGGATGAGAACATGTGGTATGCTCTTGTATCACACTCATACTTGAAGTAAGTTCGAACGACGACGCGAAACTGTAAAGACGTGCTTCGGCAAAACATAATTTTACTCATTTCACTTACTTATATTTTTATCTAAATTGCTTTACTTTGTAAAAAAATTCAAAACCTGAAATAAAATAAAAAAAACTATTTTGTTCAAATTAATAAAAACCATAAATTCAACCAAAATAAAAAATAAGGAGAAACACGCTGCTCGACCGAAATAAAAAAAGAACGAGAGCGACGCTGCTCAACCAAAATAAAAAATAACGAAAACGACGCACCTCAAGCAAAAAAGGAAAACGAGGCTGCTCAACAAGAATAAAAAAGGAACGAAGCTCAACAAAAATGAAAAAAACGAAACGCTCATCAACAAAAACGACGACAACGCCGCTGCTAAGCCAAAACCAAAACGACGCTATCCACCAAAAAAAGAAAAAAGACGTTACATACGGAGAAATAAGAAAAAAGTGATTTTGTATAGACACGAGAAAAATAGATGTCTTAGTGTAAAGTGGATAAACGATTGAAAAAGTAAATTTACAAATAATTTGAAGATAGAATGAATTAAACGACGAATGAACCAAACAACTGAGTATGTGTATGAATAAATGAAAACGACGTGGCGACGAACAAAAAAGGAGAAACGTAACGGTTAGTTTCTTCATACGAAAAATAAACAAACTGAAAAGAGAATATCAAAAATTTTAAGAGAACGAAGTAAAAACAAACATAATAACCTTCGAAATGGCTGCACTTGGTGATTTTGTTAGAATTCGCAATAACTTGGCAGCTGCCAAACGAGCTGTTGTTGTTGCTTTGCACATGTTTGTGTATGGTTGCGAAGGAGATCGTGGAAACAGAGGACGTCTTAAGGGCTAAACAGAATGTTCGCGTTGAGCCATCCGTTGCGTTATGTGTTATCGACTATAGTCGAAAACCAAATTTACAAATGGTTGGATGAAGGAATTATAGAACATTCGGACTCAGAATTTTACAGTCTAGTTAGTGAAGAAACGAGATTCGACGTCTAGATTGTGTATTGATTACCGAAGAATAAATATGGTGATAGTAAAATATCATTATCCGCTACCCTTAATCGATGATCAGCTCGATCGTTTGCAAAACGCTGTTATATTCAGTACAATAGATCTACGAAATGGATTCTTTCACGTACCAGTCAATGAAGAGAGTAGAAAGTATACGTCGTTTGTGACTCACAATGGCCAGTACCAATTCCGAAGAGTTCCATTTGGTCTTTCTAACTCGCCGGCTGTGTTTCAACGTCACATAAATGCTATATTCCGAGAGCTGAATAGAGAAGGTATCGCCTTACCATACGTTGATGACGTCATAATTCCCGCGAGTAATTACGATGAGGCTGTGGTTAACCCTTAACGAATTTTAGATACTTGCAGAGACAATGAATTAGTCATCAATCTCAAGGAGTGTAGTTTCCTTAAGAGAAGAATTCAATTTCTGGGTAACATCATTGAAGACAGGAAGATTTCCCCAGGTACAGAAAAAACGAAGGCTGTGAAGCAACTTGAAAGTTTTTTAGGACTTGCCGGATATTTCAGAAAATTTATACCGAATTTTGCACTTATAGCGAAACCACACAACGATCTGGAAAAAAAAAACGTAAAGTTCCAATTTGGTGATGAACAAAAATTAGCATTTAATAAACTTAAGCAGTGCATGATTAATGAACCTGTACTACACATATTTAACGAGAAGTTTGAATCCGAAGTCCACACTGACGCATCTATCGATGGCTATGGTGCAGTGCTATTGCAGAAATCCCCAGACGATAACCTTTTACATCCTGTGTACTACATGAGTCGAAAAACCTCTGACGCTGAAAGAAAATACACAAGTTACGAACTTGAGGTATTAACTGTCATTGAGGCATTGAAAAAGTTTAGAGTTTATCTCATTGGTATTAAATTTAAATTAATGACAGATTGTAACGCATTTACGAAAACCCTGGATAAAAAAGATCTGTGTACGAGAGTCGCCAGATGGATTTTACTTTTGCAAGAATATGACTTTACTGTTGAACGTCGCCCTGCACACATATGAAACATGTAGATGCTCTGAGTCGACATCCGGTCATGGTAATATACGACGAATAAAACGACTGCAGGGTATGGATGAAGATCTTGTCCCAATTCGAAATATCTGGGAGGAAAAGCCGGATTATAAGGGTTATTTTGTCAAAAGTGGTATCCTTTATAAAATTGAAAACGATTGTGAACTCCTAGTTGTTCCAAAAGGGATGCAAAACGAGATAATAAAAAGGGCTCACGAAAAAGGGCACTTTTACATAAAGAAGACTAAAGAATTTATATATAAAGAATACTACATTCCGAAGCTGGAAGATAAAAATCATAGACTTATAATGAATTGTGTTGCTTGTGTAATAACAAATCGAAAACGTGGAAAACAGGAAGGAAAATTAAACCCCCCTACCTCTCCTTTAGGTTACCTCTCCATACTTACCACATTGACTATCTTGGACCATTGGTGACTACAAACAAGAATTATAACCATATATTTGCCGTTATTGATGCTTTTACAAAATTCTGTTGGCTGTACCCCACAAAGACGACGTCCGCTAAAGATGCAATATCGAGATTAGAACTACAAAGTATTACATTTGGTAATCCACATAAAATCGTTTCCGATCGTGGCACAGCGTTTACGAGCGAAGATTTAAGAACTTACTGTGACGAGGAGAAAATAACTCATATCAAAATTACAACAGGACTACCTCGTGCGAACGGTCAAATAGAGAGACTCAACAGTTGACGATCTGGTAGCCATAAAACTTAAGCCGAAATACTTAGGTCCCTACAGAGTTGTGAAAGTTAAACCTAAGGACACGTACGATGTTGCGAAGGCATGTAGTAATGAAGCGCCGAAACTAACTACAACTTGCGCCAAATTCATGAAACCTTGGCCAAAAAAATACGACACTGGAGATGATTCTGAAGAGATTGTTAACCCTAATGATTTGCAGGATGGCCGAGATGTAGGATGAGAAAATTGGGTATGCTCTTGTATCACACTCATACTTGAAGTTAGTTCGAACGACGACGCGAAACTGTAAATCAAAACATCATTTTAATCATTTCATTTATTCATCATACTTTTATTTTTATCTAAATTACTTTACTGTATAAATAAACATAAAACCTGATTTAGAATAAATAAAACTATTTTGTTCATATTAATAAAAACCATATATATATATTTTTTTAATATTTTTAGAGCCACTAGTTGCCCTCAATGCCGTGAAGAAAATCCTACGTCCCATAAGATATTTTTAATTTTAAACGATGATCCGGAAGTGCCACAATCAGTTCCTTCTATTGACATTGTAGAAGTACTAAAAGCAAGACTAGATTCAAGCCTTGACAAAATACATCTACTTGAGGTACAGTTGTGTGAAGATGAAAGCAATTTTCTTCAAATGCAACAACAATATTCTCTTGAACAGGAAATGAGAATAAAATTGCAACGGGAAATTGACCAAGTAGCCATTACAGAAGAACATTTTCTCCAAATGCATTCGTTATACTCCGAATCAGAAGATCGAGCGAAAATATTGCAAGAGGAAATTCTACATCTTACTGCTGAAAATGAACGTAAATCTGAAGATATTAAAATTAAGGAAAAAGAAATTTCATTTCTGAAAACATCTTTACAATCAGCGGTTAAAAAAATAGCAAAAGAAGTGCAAATCAAACAACAATTGCAGCAACAACTCTCAGAGAACGAGAATAAGATTAAGGATTTACAGCAAGAAAATACTCGCCTTGTTAATAAGAACGAATATAACATAAAAGAACTGGCATTGAAATCAAGGGAAATATCTGTGTTAAAGGAATTTCTGAACCGAAAAATCGGAAATTGTGATAAAGCTGCAACTAGTACCCCAGTGCCTGAGATTGCGAACATTTGCAAATGCAATGTCGAAAATGCTATCGACAATAATACTACAGATCTGAAGGTTAAAAATCTTCAATATCAACTAGAGAAGGAAATTGAAAATAATACAAAATTGCTATTGGATAATAAGAAATTGCAAAGTAAGATTCAACAATGTGCAAAGTGTGTTACAAATTTGCTACTGGATAATAGAAAATTGCAAAGACAGATTCAACAAAGTGCAAAGTGTGTTGATACGAATGATCAATGATGAAATATGAATAAAATAAATTATTCTTTTAGGGGAGTGTAATTTATCTATTTTTATTCAATTTGATTGTATTAATTTACTTACAGTGATTTCAAAGTACGAATACCACTTAAAAGAGATCACTATGTGTTTTACATACTTTTTTATATGAAATATAATAAATTATAAGACAAACTAGTGCATGTTTTAATAATCCGGTTTGATAACACAACTAAAATAACATAAATGTGGGGTTAGAGATAAAATATCTTTATGGTTTCTATGGGTTTCAATTGTCAATTCCTTTGCATATATGTCAAATAAATCCTCATAAAATAGGTTAACCTGGTAAAAAGTTCTAATGTAAATGCCGTTTTAGAGAGCATAATAAGAACCCAGGTGACTATTAACTTTTTACTGGAGACCTTACAATGCAAAAATAAACAGCCTTTTATATTTTTTGTTTCATTTTTGATATGGCATGTCTTTAGTCAAATCGAATTAAAAGTATTTTTAACATAAGTAGATTGGTTTTGAATAATCAATTGATGTAGTGTCATGAAGGAAAATACTTTACTTACTAAGCTGGCTTGTTACAGAACGGTTGTTCCATAAGCCGAGCATAAAATATGTCGATGTCTGAATATGTCGATGTCCGCGTATAAATTGTAGAGCTCGCGATTCATTCGACGCCGATATTCACCGTCGACGCATATCGGCCCGTAGATCTTTCGGAGAATTTTTCTTTCAAACATCCCAAGAGCTGCCTCATCTGCTTGCGCAAGTACCCATGCTTCTGATCCATATAATAGCACGGGTAGTATCAGCGTCTTGTAAAGTGTGACTTTGGTCTGGCGGGAGGTGGCCTTGCTTTTGAGTTGTTTGCTCAGACCATAGTAGCATCGGTTGGCCATCACAATCCTTCTCCGAATTTAAAAACTGATGTCATTCGTTTTATTTGTGGCGGTACCAAGGTATATAAAGTCTTTAACTACCTCGAAGCTGTAGTTCTCAAGTTCCACAGTTGGTCCGAGTCTACTGGACGTCTTGCGCGTTGATACCATCACCTTGGTCTTCCCGTCGTTTACTGCCAGACCCACTTTGGCAGACTCCTTTTCAATTTGTTCAAAGGTGGCTGTTACCGCTCGCAATGTTCGACCCATTATATCGATGTCATCCGCGGAGGCGAGTAACATGTGTTGTTTGGTGTACAGAGTGCCATTTCTGTTCACCTTTGCGTCTCCTATGACCTTTTCCAGTAGGATGTTAAAAAGATCACACGACAAACTGTCACCTTGTCTGAATACTCGTTCGGTATTGAAGGGCTCCGATAGGTCCTTTCCTACTTTAACTGCTGATCTTGTGCCACTTAAAGTTATCCTGCATTTTGCAGGAATGCCGAACGCAGACATGGCTTTAAACACCTCTGAACGGATAGGGCTGTCGAATGCGGCTTTATAGTCGACAAATAGGTGGTATGTGTCGATGTGTTTTTCGTGGGTCTTTTCCAGGATTTGGCGCAGAGTGAAAATCTGGTCAATGGTGGATTTGTCGGGTCTGAAGCCGCATTGGTATGGTCCAATGATGTCACTGACCATTGGCTTCAATCGTACACACAGCACACTGGATACCACTTTATATGCGATGGGAAGGAGACTTATTCCTCTAAAGGTGGCACATATCGTCTTGTCTCCTTTTTTGTGCACGGGACACAGGATGCTGAGGTTCCAATCATTGGGCATGCATTCATCTAGCCAAATTGTACTAATCAGCTGGTGCATGCTCCTGACCAGCATCTGGCCAACAGTCTTGAATATTTCGGCTGGTAACCCATCAGCTCCTGCTGCTTTGTTGTTCTTGAGCCGATTATTATTTGCTTTTATGACCTCATCTTGTCGAATGCGGCTTTATAGTCGACAAATAGGTGGTATGTGTCGATGTGTTTTTCGTGGGTCTTTTCCAGGATTTGGCGCAGAGTGAAAATCTGGTCAATGGTGGATTTGCCGGGTCTGAAGCCGCATTGGTATGGTCCAATGATGTCACTGACCATTGGCTTCAATCGTACACACAGCACACTGGATAGCACTTTATATGCGATGGGAAGGAGACTTATTCCTCTATAGGTGGCACATATCGTCTTGTCTCCTTTTTTGTGCACGGGACACAGGATGCTGAAGTTCCAATCATTGGGCATGCATTCATCTAGCCAAATTGTACTAATCAGCTGGTGCATGCTCCTGACCAGCATCTGGCCACCAGTCTTGAAAATTTCGGCTGGTAACCCATCAGCTCCTGCTGCTTTGTTGTTCTTGAGCCGATTATTATTTGCTTTTATGACCTCATCTTGGCTACCACCTAGCCATCATCTCCTATAGGTTCTGGGGTATCTTCTTCAACGCCACTATTTGATACCAGAAGCTTTTCAAAATGTTCTTTCCAGATCTTCAAAACGCTGTCTGTATCTGTCACCAGGTTTCCTTCTTCATCTCTACAGGAGGATGTGCCTGCACTAAAGCCTTCGGTTTGGTGTTTTACTCGTTGGTAAAATTTACGGACTTCATTCTGACTCCTGTACATCTCGATTTGCTCACGCTCACGTTTTTCTTGTTCTTTTTTCTGAAAACACGTTTCTCCTCTCTCCTTTTCTCCCGATAATTCTCCATCACGTTACGTGCCACAAGGTAATGGTCCCAATCGATATTCGCTCCTTGGATCGATCGGACGTCTAAAACACTGGATGAATGCCTTCCGTCTATCACAAAATGATCAATTTGATTTCTCGTTGCTTGATCAGGAGAGATCCAGGTGGCCTTGTGTATATCGACATGCTTGAATCTGTTTCTAGGCGCTTGTAAAATGTGTCTTTGGTCTGTTCATCTTTATCTTCGCTTTTATGCGGATTATAGCAATTCGCGCATCTACTGGAGTGAATCTGGAGACAAGGTCTTTTATTCTCCATTTTATTAACCATAAATCCGCAGCCAAATTCATGTCTCGTTTCATGGCAGCTATAATACAAGTCGTAATCGTCTGATTTACTTACGCCTGTCCCTTTCCGTCGCATTTCCTGTAAGGCAATAATATCGGCTTTTTCTTAGATTTTTCATAGTAGGTTGGGTTTTCCGAGAGTGGGCAACTAACCCGACGCCTCAACCCATTTTTTTATAGTTCTTATGGGTGAACTCGGCTCACATATTAGCTCACTGTTTCATCGGGTGATGAGAATAGCTCCCCAGGTGGCACCGCGGGGAGGTCAGTGTCCACAATTGAGATGAAAGAGGGACCAAGATAAGCCTGGACTTCGCCATGTTAAAGCCAATCAGAGCCGGTGCTTGGTATCTATCATCCCCTACGCCACCCGTTATTTGAAACATTTCATTTGTAATTCGAAAAATCAATTTGCAATTCATAACAATTCATTTGAAATTCGAGAATGTAATTGGTAATTCACAGCATTTAATTTTAAACGTTTCATATGTAGTTCAAAAAAATCCATTTGAAATTTGAAGAATTTCATTTGTAATTCGAATATTTCCAATTGAAATTCGCTTCACTTGAAATTCAAAGAAATACTTTTGAAAAAAATTTCAGTTGTAATTCGTAAAAATTCATTTCAAATTCATACATATTCCTCGAATTTTAAATTAAATGTTATGAATACCAAATGAAATGTTATGTATTTCAAATCAAAAGTTATGAATTTCAAATGGAATTTTTTTAATTTTAAAATCAATACTTTGAGTTTGAAATGGAAGTATATGAATTTTAAATGGAATTCTATGAATTACAAATGAAATTCCCGAATTACAACTCATATGCTATGTTACAACTATTATTAGTCTTGTATTCTTATATAAACTTTTTAACAAAAAAACTCGAATTGTAGAGATTTCTTTGAAAAACTGCTTTGTTCGCGGACGCAAAAAAAAACATGAAACTGTTCTCTACTTCCTTAACGTTACTATACTATTACGAGTCTGCTCCTTTATTTTCACTCTCTGTAAATAAATATTAGCGTGTAATTTTATTATCGTTCCTCCTAAATTTTCAACATTTTTTCTGGAGAGATATATCTTAATGTCGACTCCAAATTGCATCAAGCTCGGTTTACATATTCCTATAGATGTATCCCTATAATATTCAAATCTTCTTATTGTACTATGCCTTCCTAATAGTCCCGTCAAAATAGTAAACTTTAGTCCTCTATCTTGCAAAATAATACTATATTGCTTTTCAAAATGTTCTTTCCAGATCTTCAAAACGCTGTCTGTATCTGTCACCAGGTTTCCTTCTTCATCTCTACAGGAGGATGTGCCTGCACTAAAGCCTTCGGTTTGGTGTTTTACTCGTTGGTAAAATTTACGGACTTCATTCTGACTCCTGTACATCTCGATTTGCTCACGCTCACGTTTTTCTTGTTCTTTTTTCTGAAAACACGTTTCTCCTCTCTCCTTTTCTCCCGATAATTCTCCATCACGTTACGTGCCACAAGGTAATGGTCCCAATCGATATTCGCTCCTTGGATCGATCGGACGTCTAAAACACTGGATGAATGCCTTCCGTCTATCACAAAATGATCAATTTGATTTCTCGTTGCTTGATCAGGAGAGATCCAGGTGGCCTTGTGTATATCGACATGCTTGAATCTGTTTCTAGGCGCTTGTAAAATGTGTCTTTGGTCTGTTCATCTTTATCTTCGCTTTTATGCGGATTATAGCAATTCGCGCATCTACTGGAGTGAATCTGGAGACAAGGTCTTTTTTATAGTTCTTATGGGTGAACTCGGCTCACATATTAGCTCACTGTTTCATCGGGTGATGAGAATAGCTCCCCAGGTGGCACCGCGGGGAGGTCAGTGTCCACAATTGAGATGAAAGAGGGACCAAGATAAGCCTGGACTTCGCCATGTTAAAGCCAATCAGAGCCGGTGCTTGGTATCTATCATCCCCTACGCCACCCGTTATTTTAAACATTTCATTTGTAATTCGAAAAATCAATTTGCAATTCATAACAATTCATTTGAAATTCGAGAATGTAATTGGTAATTCACAGCATTTAATTTTAAACGTTTCATATGTAGTTCAAAAAAATCCATTTGAAATTTGAAGAATTTCATTTGTAATTCGAATATTTCCAATTGAAATTCGCTTCACTTGAAATTCAAAGAAATACTTTTGAAAAAAATTTCAGTTGTAATTCGTAAAAATGCATTTCAAATTCATACATATTCCTCGAATTTTAAATTAAATGTTATGAATACCAAATGAAATGTTATGTATTTCAAATCAAAAGTTATGAATTTCAAATGGAATTTTTTTAATTTTAAAATCAATACTTTGAGTTTGAAATGGAAGTATATGAATTTTAAATGGAATTCTATGAATTACAAATGAAATTCCCGAATTACAACTCATATGCTATGTTACAACTATTATTAGTCTTGTATTCTTATATAAACTTTTTAACAAAAAAACTCGAATTGTGGAGATTTCTTTTCAAAACTGCTTTGTTCGCAGACGAAAAAAAACAAGAAACTGTTCTCTACTTCCTTAACGTTACTATACTATTACGAGTCTGCTCCTTTATTTTCTCCTTCTGTAAATAAATATTAGCGTGTAATTTAATTATCGTTCCTCCTTAATTTTCAAAATTTTTCTGGAGAGATATATTTTAATTCCGACTCAAAATTGCATCAAGCTCGGTTTACATATTCCTATAGATGTATCCCTATAATATTCAAATCTTCTTGTTGTACTATGCCTTCCTAATAGTCCCGTCAAAATAGTAAACTTTAGTTGAGTCCTCAAACTTGCAAAATAATACTATATTGCATTACTTTTGGATTTTTTTGTTAGGAAAAATTTACTCAAATTTAAAAAGAGTCAAAACAAAAATGGCATTATCTTTTCTTATTTGCTGCAAGACAAATTCACTGGAATCGAAATAATAGCATCAACTTTCGCGCTTTATCACACGACACACACATACAACGCACATCAATTTTAAGCGTTGATGTTATCGTTTCCTTATGGTTGTTGTATTTTCGATAACAAATAATGCGACGGATGGCTCAACGGATTCATTCTGCTTATGCCTTAACTCTTATACGACGGAATTACCGACGATAATAATAGCAAATTTTCAGTTGCCTATCATTTCGTTAATTAAGGAAAATATTCGCTAAGTTAACGACTAAAATAAAGTGGTAGCTAAACCCTACCAATACATATAAAAATGTAATGTTATCATAAATTTTTATTTTAATATTTTTATATTTGTCGGTAGGTCTTAACGACTACTTTATATTAGTTGTTAAGTTAAAAATTATCAGTTTCTGACTGACTATAAATGTGTTCTCTTTAGTGTAAACTATTTTATATGAATAATCCACTTTTTTCACAATAATAGTAAAATTTACTCAGTATGTTCTATTTCAGAGAGTAAACCTGAGAAAAGTAAACTGACAACATCCAGTAAGATTTTAGTCAACTTCACTTAAAATGGTTGAAATTTTTTTAGATATATCTATACTAATAAAAGAGTAAAGTGATTGACTGACTGATTTAACGATTCATAAACGCCCAGACGAAACGGCTGAAGATAGAATCTTGAAATTTTGGGTGAGGGTCACTCTTGGTCCAAATGTGACAGATAAGGCTGGTTTTTTGGAAATTCGTGCTCGAACGTTGCGAAACGTACTAAATGTGATACCATTTGTATTTGGCGAACTGGTGGAGCTAGAACTCTGAAATTTGTTTTGGTCGTCGCTGATGGAGTGTAGGATTGATGTACCAAAGGATTTTTAGAAATTCGAACTATAACTATCCGAAAAGTACGAAAATGTACTATATTTGGTACAATTCTGTAGCATGTGAACGGAAAGCGTTAAAAACTTGAGTGAGTGTGAATTAAGGTTGAGAAGTAGGGTCCATTTAAGGAGATGGTTTTTGAAAGCGTGTACTAATGTGTACGAAAAGTACTATATGGTACTATATTTCATACAAATTTAATTTGGAGATACAAATCGAGCTGGAATCCTGGAATTTGGAATTAAAATTACCGTCGGAGTGTAGGACTGGGATATGAAAGTTGTTTTGGAAATTTGTTACTTATGTGTACGAAAAGTACTAAATCGTACTATAATCGGTACAGTTTGGATTTTGGTGATCCTATAGAGCGGGAACAATGACATTTGGAGTCAGGATCACTGTAGGGGTGTGGGATTGGGGTCAGGATTCAGTTTAAGAAAATTATACTTATGATTACTAAATGGTACTAAATTTGGCACAATTTGAATTTTAGGTGAACCAATAGAGCTAGAATCATGAAATTTGGTGTCAGGATCACTGTTGAGGTGTAGGAAGGATCACTGTAGGAAGTTTTAGAAATGTGTACTAATGTGTACTAAATTTGGTACAATTTGAATTGTGAGTGAACCGATAGAGTTGGAATACTGAAACTTGGATTTTGATCACTGTGGGGGTGTAGGGTTGGGGTATGTATGAAGTTTTAGAAATTTTTACTAAGTGTACTAAATTTTTGTACAATTTAAATTGTAGGTGAAGCGATAGAGTTGGAATCCTGAAAATTTGATTTAGGATCACGGTGGAGGTGTAGGATTGGGGTAAGTAAGAGGTTTTGGTACTAATTTGAATTCTGGGTGAACCGATAGAGTGGGAATCCTAAAATTTGAATTTAGTAGTAGGTTTGGGTTAAGTAGGAAGTTTTGGAAATTCGTACTGCTGTGTACTATATTTAGAACAATTTGAATTGTGGGTGAACCAGTTGTTTTTTGTGATCAAAGAAAAGTCTTTATTTTTGATGGCAGGCATGATAACTCCTCACTGGAACATCGGAATCCGAAAATTCAAACGGTGTTAGAAAGAGTACATGTCTGGCTCTCGTATGAACTAGGATTATTGACTTCGCACAACAATTAACAAAATGGCGGAACTTTGAATTTTTTTTTTCTTTTTTTTTTTGGAAAATCACTTACTTTGGACCCCAAACTAAGTTAAAAAATAAGGAAGATCTTCACCGATTGGCTTTATCCTAGTTCATACTAGAGCTATACACTCCCAGAGAAACGTGTCAAAATTTGGAACCGATTGAATTTTTAGTTTTTGTGCCCGCCATTCGTAAAAACAGTTTCGAGAAAAATTCGTTTAAAGTTTGAGAATCACTCTTGCGTTACTTGATGCTGACACAATAAATCGGCTATATCTTCAAGAGTTCTTGAGATTTTTACTTGAAATTTTGTAGGGGCATTCTAGAATTAGAGTAGATTCGAAATATGTAAGTCGAAAAAAAATGTTGACACCAAAAAAAAGGGGGGTCCCCTTAAATCACTTTCAAAATAAACCACTCATATATTATATAAAAATATTAACGACAACAGCTTTGTGGTTTAAGGCACGTAGATGTAGGGAAATTACTCATCTCTATGTATGAATATGTTCTTTATTGTATACGAAGATCACCAACATCATTCACTTACAAACCGCACAGAGAATTTGACTCTATTGTTGATTATTTTTAATGGGAAATAGAAACAAAAATGTCTGGGCTTAGGTTAATGTGTCCAATATGTACTGAGGATTTTGGGGAATCTGACGAAATTTTTAGTACATGTTGTGGACATTTGTATCACAGGTCATGTATGCAGGAGTGGCAAAGTCGGTAAATACTATATCATCATTAATTTTATTAATTACATTTCTTTGTAAACATTTTTTTGAGATATTTTAGAGCCACATGTTGTCCTCAATGCCGCGAAGAAAATCCTACTTCCCATAAAATATTTTTAATTCTCAACGATGATCCGGTAGTTCCACCATCAGTTCATTCGATTGACTTGGTAGAAGAGCTGCAAGCAAAACTAGAGTCAAGCCTTGAAAAAATACATGAACTCGATGAACAGTTGAGGGAAAATGAAAGTAATTTTCTTCAAATGCAGAAACAGTATTCGGTTGAGCAACGAATGAGAGAAAAGTTCCAACAGGAAATTGACGAAGTAGCCATTACCGATGAATATTTTCTCCAATTGCATTCGTTGTATTCCGAATCAGAAGATCAAGTGAAAAAATTGCAAGAGAAAATTCTACATCTTACCAATGAAAATCAACGTCAATCTGAGAAAATCAGAATTAAAAATAATAAAATCGTGACTCTGAAAAAATCTGTACAATCAACGGATAGAAAAATAGCCAATGAGGGCGAAATCATACAAAAATTGCGACAACAACTCTCAGAGCATGAGAACAAGGTTAAGGCTTTACAGCAAGAAAATAATCGCCTTGTTAATAAGAACGAATATAACACAAAAGAATTGGCATTGAAATCAAGAGAAATGTCTGTGTTGAAGGAATTTTTAGACCGAAGAGTTAAAAACTCAGGTAATGCTGCGGCTAATACTGCAGTTCGAAAGAAACTATGCAAATGCAATGTTGAGCCCGCAGTCGAAAACAATACTACAGATCAAAAGGTTAAACATCTTCAATGTGAGCTGAAGAAGGAAATTGAAAATAATACAAAACTATTATTGGATAAAAAGAAATTAAAAAGACGGATAAAGCAAATGGAAAAGAATTTTGATCATTCGCAAATCCTATGTAGCAATACGTCGATAGGCAAATGAAACTATGGCTGTGCTACTTTTCTCTTTAATCGATATTGCACAATATTTTATTAACAAGAATAAACAATAAAAGTCTACAAAATTCCTTACATATCAATTGATTTCTAGCAGTGCAGTGTGCATTGTTTTCTTTTAAGGGAACGAAAATACAATAAAAACGATAACATCTACGCTTGAAATTGACGTGCGTTGTACTTCGGATTTAAATATATTTATGCGCGTTATGCCATGTTCTGACGGGCATCCGAACAACGTAGTTCGCTCTCAGAATTACGTACATGAATTAACCCGTTCATACAACACTATTCATAATTCATATCATCAGAGTTTTTTATTTCAAACTTTTTGTTTCTTGTTTTACACCAAAAATGTAACATATTTTAGTGAATTACATAGGGATATAAATAGAAAAAATAATTCTCTTTCTCCTGACTATAGTATGAACCCATATCTATTTACTTTTCATTCATGTTTTCCATTTTTTCTGAAAATGTTGTAGTTTTTAATACATTTTTATATTTTCTCAATTCAAATGTCACATACTGTCACAAATAAAAATTTGGAGAATTTTTTGTTTGAGTTGCCCCACATTTGTTTCTTGTTTTGTACGCTAATTAGAACCAAGGGAAAAGAAACGCATATTGCATTATGTAGAAAACAAAATTTACATCCTGCTGCATATATAAAAACTATACAATTTTTTACTTTTCATTCATGATTTTCAATTTTACTGAAAACGTTTGAAAATTTCATAAATATTTTCAAACTGTCAAAATTAATTTATTTTCGATAAACACTCTCAATTGTTAGGGATGGGACAAATTTATTGGTTATTCAGAGAGTGATTCGAATTGAACAACGTACAAAAGTCGGTGTTCGCTCAGACAATTTTGCATGGGGAACTAAGTAATTCCTTCATAATTAAGGGTCGAACAACGAATGAGAGAGCGAACAACGCTCGTCTGTACATGGCATTAACGAGATAAGAAAACACACGTAACGCGACCATTGTGCGGTGCCCTTAAGGAGTTAATATTATCGTCCCGTTGTGGCTGTTGTATTATCGATAATACAAAACGAGACGGACTGCGCAGCGGGTCCATTCTGCTTGTGCTTTTAAGGGCTAAACAGAATGTTCGCGTTGAGCCATCCGTCGCGTTACTGTTATCGAAAATACAATAACCCCAAGGAAACGTTGTATTTTCGATAACATATAACGCGACGTATGGCTCAACGCGAGCATTCTGCTTAGCCCTTTTAATTTTCAAATGAAACAAAAGTCGTTTGCGATTAATCGATTATTCGAAAGTCGATCTACATATCCCTGTGACCAAAATGAAAATGGCGACATTTGTTCACAAATTTTGCGTCGTCGTAGCTCTTGTAAAATTTTCATTTGAAAACTTTGTAATTTTTTCGTAAATAATGTCTCAAAGATTTGCACCGGGTCAACCGGGACAATCACCCGTGCCTGGCCAACCACGATATCCTCCTCCACCGCCACAGTCTGCCGGTATGCGTCCATATGCAGCAGGTACAGGATTTCCTCCGGTAAGTATTGCTTTTGACGGTGTTGTAAAACAAACGAGCTTCGATTCCCTATTTGATTTTATTTCCAGCAAAGGGGATTTCCATTGCATCCTAGTAATAGTCAGCCAGTAGCTGGTAACACAAGTTCCCCGGTTGGAGCTCCACTGCATCAGAGGGCGCCGCAGCCGGGATTTCAGAGTGGATTGCGTGGTAGTGGAAGTGGTGGCGGCAATAAGCGTTCTAGCGAAGCTCGTAATATGAATAATGCACAAAACAAAAGCGAATTCAATTCAGCTGCAAAGAAGAAAAAGAAGTTGGCCGACAAAATACTGCCACAGAAGGTGAGAGATTTGGTTCCCGAGTCTCAGGCCTATATGGATCTCCTTACTTTCGAACGTAAACTGGATGCCACTATTATGAGAAAACGGCTGGACATACAGGAAGCTCTTAAAAGACCAATGAAACAGAAACGTAAACTGCGCATCTTCATCTCAAATACATTTTATCCGAGCAAAGAACCGACCAACGATGGCGATGAGGGTTCTGTTGCATCTTGGGAATTGCGGGTGGAAGGACGTCTCTTAGAAGATGGCAAAGGTGACCCGAATACAAAAATAAAACGGAAGTTTTCATCATTTTTCAAGTCATTGGTTATTGAACTGGACAAAGAGTTATATGGACCGGATAATCATTTAGTGGAATGGCATCGCACTCATACCACACAAGAAACGGATGGCTTTCAGGTTAAAAGACCAGGCGATAGAAATGTTCGTTGTACAATATTGCTGTTGTTGGACTATCAACCACTGCAGTTTAAACTAGACCCACGACTAGCTCGTGTATTGGGCGTTCACACACAAACACGTCCCGTAATAATATCTGCTCTGTGGCAGTACATCAAGACACACAAGTTGCAAGATGCCCATGAAAGGGAGTACATCAATTGTGACAAATACCTGGAGCAAATTTTCGGATGCCAACGAATGAAGTTCGCCGAAATTCCACAACGCCTCAACCCTCTACTACATCCCCCCGAGCCAATAGTTATAAATCACTTTATCGAAAGCGGGGCTGAAAATAAGCAGACCGCTTGTTACGATATTGATGTGGAGGTTGATGACACACTGAAAAACCAAATGAACAACTTCCTAATGAACACTGCCAGTCAACAGGAAATACAGGGTCTGGATGCAAAAATCCATGAAACCGTGGACACTATCAACCAAATGAAAACCAATCGGGAGTTTTTCCTAAGCTTTGCAAAAGATCCCCAAACATTTATTCAACGTTGGATTGTTAGCCAAACACGTGATCTGAAGGTTTGTGAAAGTATTATCTGGTATTTTATTGTGCTTAACTAATCGTATGGTACTTTATTATAGGCGATGACCGATGTCACTGGAAATCCGGAAGAGGAACGCCGTGCAGAGTTCTATTATCAACCTTGGACACATGAGGCGGTTTCACGTTATTTCTTTACAAAAGTCAATCAGAAGAGAGCCGAATTGGAACAAGCCTTGGGCATAAGAAACGGTTAAATGACAGAATTATTTGTAAGATCAATTTCTCAGATGTTTGTTTTTTTCGTCTGAGTTTGTAATTCCATTGTATCATGTTTGTGGTATTCTCATTTAAACTAATTTCTCTTATATTTTATATTTGTCAACAAAAAAAAAAAATAACAAAAACACACAATTAGATTTCTCTAAACAAAACAATTATGATATACATTAATAATTTAGCTCCAACAAAAAATAATAATTATTATGTAAGGAAGATTGTCTTTTATTGTTTCTATGTGGCAATGTTCCATTGTGGAGGAGGTACTAGAAGGAATATTTGGTTATGTAAAGTTTTGTTCAAATCGTATAGTCCTTTCCCATGATATTCCAAATTAATTTTCAACAAATTTTTTACCATTTTTATGTGGGAGGTACAAGGAGAAGTCAACTTATATTCCCTTATATTCAAACTTTAAGTTTGGAAGAAATATTAGGATGTGCAAAGTTTGGATGAAAACGGATACTCCCTTCAAAAGTTATCATCTGCACTAGCCAGACAGGGGGACATTTGTAAATTGACCGAAGAGGATTTGGTACAAAGAAACATGGGGTCTAAAACCAATATTTCTATGAGGCACATTTTTGACGTATCAAAATTGTATATACCCTCAATAACCATAAGATTAAGGGTACAACAAAATCACCATCCTTGACTAAATAAACACAAGGAGTTAGAGAATAGCTTATATAAAATATGAAAATTAGATCTGCACTGAAAATGGAAATTTCTTCTTCTCTTTTTACAAAATTATTTTATTTTTGTCTACATATAAAAGGAATGCTTTTGTTCTATTTTATTTCTAAACGTGCGAGGATATTTACTTTTGTTTTTTACTTTCAATGGCTTTCCCATCAGCAGAAACACTTTCCGTCGTATTCTCATGATTATCATCTGGCATTTCCTCAATGCTTAATCCCGTATCTAGGCGATTTTTATCGACTGGATATAACCACCGTTGGTAGAGATATATCAGGAATACAACATCGTCTCGAAGGCAGGCTATACGGTGGGCAGTAGGCATGCTTATAATAAATGCGAAGAAGTCGTCGATAAATGTGTTAAAGGCTTTGTACATAAATGCGCGCCATGGCAAAGCGGCCACCGATTTTAGTTTGTAGTTGACAAACAACTGAGGTAACATGAATAGGAAACCAAATGCATAGACACCCTTGACCAACGAATTGAGGGTCCAAGAATACCAACTGCGGTGTGGGTAGTATATCAGGGAATAAATGGCTCCACCAATACATAAAGGATACAAGAGGTAACTTAAATAACGCATGCCTTGCTTGTCGAATTCCTCAGTTTTCAATTCGGCTGAACCAACAGCCTTGGCGTTCTTTGAGTCTGTGTTATTAGTCCGCTGTTCCTTTTTGCGAATCCCCTTGAGACCGATTTCTAGTTTAAGTATCTTCTTACATTTCCACAACTCAATTAGTACTCCTATACCGGCTGGTATTACCACCAAAAGCGATGTCTTTTCATCCAACAAGTACAAGAAGATGACAATTTGAGAGAATGCTCGCCACAGAGTTGTGCGTGTAGAGAGTCCTTCATAGGATTTCTTTTTGCGCCAGAAAGCCACATCGTTTTTGAATGATAGAAAATCGAAAAGCATCTAGAATAATGTTCAAGAGAATTACAATAGCTCTATGATCAGTTGCATAACATGCTTACGTGTATACTGGCCACAAATATGGTGGCTAAGAGCAAATACAAATTCGTGTCGGAGAACATGGATTTAATCTCCTCGACATCGTTTTTGGTAATGCCCATTTGATACATCATCTTCATTGCATGCTCAATCATTAGCATCAGACGTAGTCTTCCAATACCCATTGGACGGAAATGAAATTTAATTGTGAAAGTGGTCATATTGCGATCCACCTCCACCAAATCCTTCATACGGGTATTGAAAAAGTCTGTCTTGAGGATGGGTAATATTTGCTGATGCCTGTTGACATGTATGAGTGGGGCCATTTCTGGTGGAACATCAGCGGCCGACAGCGATATCAAATCCGTTAACAATGACACATGAACATCAGACATTATGTGGGTATGGGGTTTAGCAGCAGACTGAGATTTTTTCGATGCTGCTGCAGCACCTTTTTCCTTCTGCAAAAAGTTTGTCGCTTAAATCTTTTGATTTATCCCAACAGTTGTATACTTACATCCCCCAATAGGATATAGGCGGCTGCCTTGGGCACCATATATTCGGTAATACTTAAACTGTGAATTACCGTGGGACCGTCTCTCCTCAATGTTTTCCATTCCAACGGCTCTCCTTGCAGTGCCAGCACAACTTGCATATATAAAGTACCATTTCGTCTGGTTTTTGCCGGTACCTTAATTTCATAGTCCTTTTCATAGGCGCTCATGTAGTCAAAGTTCTTAATACTATCCACCTTGGTCACCTCCGTGTGTATAGGGTTGTGTGTAGTGGAGGTCCACAATGCCAATTGCATGCGTGGTCGATTTGCCAGGAATGAATTATAGCAGGGGACGTCTGTGCATTTTAGTGTGGTAAATAATTGGGCCATCATCCACATGGAATGACCTATATAGCCCAGGAAGGCTATGCCCAATATGGTGGTGATCGAAGGAAAGGCAAGCGGCATTTTGCAACTAAAAGGATGCCATAAATTTCAATGGTTGAGTATGAATGAAATGGGAATGCAAACGCCTGAAAATCCCGAAAAACACTGACGCTACTCTACACACACCGACAATGATGACGTACGTTTTTTCTTCAGGGCGGCAGTTTTCAATTTTCACCGACTGCAGGCACATTGAAAAACGTTCCACCTGTTACGAATGGGATGGGATAAGACAAAATGCCCGATAAAGAAGAAATGAAAGTGGAGAACCGAAAGTTTACGAATGAGGTGGGATAGAGACTAGAGAGCGGGGTTTTACACTTATCGGGATTGGTGTTGAGAGTTTCTCTCTCATTGGTAAATTGTGAATTGAGTAGGAACAAAAAAGTACGAAAAGGTGCCTAAAATTCTACTTCAAATGATAATAAATCATAATTATCGAGAAATATTGGCCAATATTTATACCAGTTGTTTGCATAAATAATTGGTTTGTTCCCGTACTGCAAGAATCTACTCGATTTTACTATTTTCTTCGATACCATAAAGGAAAATTCGTTATCGTAGTAAGAAGTAGTAGATTCATGCAATACGGGAACAGACCAAATATATGTTATAATTTAAGCGTAAATGCAAGGTGTATTTAATAAGGTGTATGCATCAGCTACAACAACTAAAATTTTACAAAAACAACATTATTGTTATAGAAATTAAATTGTCATGCTGACAATTAGTTATTGACATGAAGAAACAAAAACAAAATAATAATAATAACAAATGTTGAAGAATTAAATTAAACTTTTTTCGAAAGAACGAGAATAAATTTGCTGTTCTGGACGATACGATTATTTATTTACAAATTATTTTACAAAATTTTAAATTTACAAATTTTAAGGCGCGGTCGCGGACGTTTTTGAACTTTTTCTCACAAATAACCTATGGGATTCTGAGATATTAACCATACAAGTTCTGTAGGTGCGAAATTTGCTTGTGCAAATAAATATTCCGGCCCGGTCGCGGATCATTTCGAAAATTGTATCACAAGTAGTCCTTGTGTTCCTGAGATATTTGTGTTAAATATTATTCCAAATCTGTCATTCTAAAAGAAAAGACAAGTTGGGTGGTCAATTGGGCTTTGTTGGCTATAGACCTTCACCTGTGGACTAATTCCAACCCGGGCTACGTAACACAATCTCAATGTAATTAATGAAGTATTCATAAGAAAACCAGTATGGAAAACTCGGACGGGGTCGACGGTATAGACTTGGGATCTTTGGTATACCATTTGTATTAAATCAAACAATTATGTATGGGAGCTATGTGTAAATCTGGATCGATTTAATGCAATGATGTGCACAAATTCGTCGCCATCAGACATACTTTGGAGGTTTGGTACATAATTCTCAAGACTATGAATCCAGAAAATTGAGCATATATAATAAACACACATCTAAAAAAAGACTTCAACGTATGTAATTTATTATTTAATTTAGGCCAAATATATTAGGATTTACAGGTTAATTTTTAGGAACTTCTTTGTTTTGCCTTTTGGGACTTAAGTCTTGCATTTAAGTGGCGAATTCGAAATTGTATACGACATTTAAAAAATAATGTCTTCACATTCTTTGGAAGGGGGACAAAATTACTAGCTTCTATCAACTCTGTCTGTAGATTCCTCATTTCAGATATTTCTTCCCCGTTGAAATAATTGAACACTTTCTCTAGGTTTTTTATTTTATCCACAAAATTTGAATCTGGTTTTTTAAGGCAACCCTTTGATACTTGATCTACCCAAGTGTAGGTATTTTCTCCGCTTTCGTATTCATCGAGATTTAGTTTTCTTATTATGTAACCCGATAAATACTCCAGAGCATCTTCTTGTAGCATGCCAATATCTTCAAATTCCATACGTCCAATATCATCAATAAATTTAGTTTCTTCATATTCAATATCTTCCCCTTCCTGAAGTATTTCGGTGTCTTCATATTCAAAATCAAGTTCGTCAGTGTGCGTCGGGACTTTACATTTGTCAACGTTAAAAGTATTTGAAGCGGAATACCAATTTATAGAAACAGATTCAACTTTCCCAGACTCTCTTAAAATTTCTGTGTTTCGAGCTAAAGCATTCAATAAGTAAAATAGTAAATAATATATATATATATATATATATATATATATTTTTTTTTCAATATACCTAGGATATATTTTCGAAGCCGATATCTGAACTCCTTGGGCGTTGGGTGGTCGTTCAAGCCCCCCTTACTTCTAAGAGCTCCAAAAAAATGTTCCAGCACATCTTGATTAACTCGATCAGTTAAAATATAATTCATTGAAAATTTTTTGTTCACATATTTGTATAACATCATTAAAGAGTTGGATGTTATAATGATGCCTTTTTGGAATGGTTCCAAAGATTTCTTATTTGGGACTATTGGAGTGGACATGATTTTGATCATAGACAATAATATCTGGTCTTGTTCTTTCAAAGCAATTCCATAAGGTTCCTAAAAACATTGTAATATGAATCATATTCAAAAAGAAATTATTAATCCATCCAATAACAAAAAGTAATTTGTAATAAATGTGTAACAATTGCAATCTTAGTTTATACCTTGCCAGGATAGTTAAATACACCCATTTTCGAATTCAATATGTCGAACCAGTTATTCACCAATTGAAAGAATTCTGCCGTCTCAACTGCCTTGTATATATCATATCCTTGAGCATAAATCCACTTTATCGCACTTGCAGTGTTATTTGAAAACAGTTGGGCAGCAGTTTTAACTTTTTGTCTGGCTGTAAATTGTTATTTAAAATATATTTCTTTATAATTACAAATGACATACCAACTCCTTTCACCGAAAGATGTTCATTTGTTACTTTAAAATTAATTTTTATGTCGCTTTTTGATGTATGTTGTAAAACATCATGAATCGTTTTTGGCGTTAAGAGTTCCCCATTAATAATTAGCCCTGAATCAAGATAGTGATTTCTTACAAGTTTCAATAAATGTGGTACGTCGGCGAATACAAAAACGGGTTCGGTGGGATTTGCAGGATTTGAAAACCAAGGTTTTTCTACGTTAAAAATTCAATAAAGTTTATTCACGTTATGGGATAATGCAATTCATATAAAAGTTTAAAAAAAATACCTATGCTCACGTTTAATTCTCTTAATAATTTCCTGTTCGATGGTCCCATATCAGATACAATACCAACAACGGGGTACCCTGCATTATACAATTCCGTTATTATAGCAAAAAGGATGGTCTCCGTCATCTGACAATCAAATTTATAAAACACAGGTTGCTTCCATGATTTTTTTAATCCTCTAGCTAAAACTACTTGAACATACTTCGCTGGCTTCCGAACATATCCTCCGTCAGCGTCATACTCATACGCTTCAAATACTTTCATTTCGTCCATAGCAAGGACACATATTTTATCATCCCCCGTCATTTCTATCGATTGCTTCATCAGATCAATTGACGCCTGTATAATTCCTTCCTTTAAAGGAATTTGTTTGCTCCAGCGATATAAAGTAGTTTCGTGAGGTATTGGATAACCTTTGTTATACAAATGCCTGTACGCTCGAGGTCCAGCTGCATGCAAACATAAGCTACTAGAAATATCTTCCCATTTCCAGTTATATCTTCGAGGATTTTGTAGTTTTTTTATTTGATTGTTAGTAAATATCGGATGTAAAAATTTATTTATATTATTCAATTCTTCATTTTTTTCATTCAGGCTTTCTTTAAGCTTCTTATTTTCTAAGGTTAGTAGTTGGTTATCTTTTCTCAATTTTTCAATTTCTATTTGCATGGTGCACAACAAAAGTATTGGCCTATAAGAAAGTGTGAAATATGTTTAAAAAGATGTAGAAGATCGTATGCAATCTAGTAAATAAAGAAGTAAAGCTGAATGACGCCGACCATATTATACTCTACAAACCCCGTTTGGTTGACAGATGCCTGCCTGGGAGGTACGAACGAGTTATATATATATATGTATATATATATATCAAGTTGAAAGACATTATCGGATAAACCACATCGCACAAAGTAATATTTTTTTCAAATCCGAAGATGTACATGCACCTAAGTGTTTAACATTTCCCCTCCCTCAGGTAGCTGCTCCTTGAATGTTGCTCAAACCTGATATGACAAAAAATCATGATATTCGATTGACATTATATAAGCAAAATTGGATCACAATCGTCAAAATAGCTATAACACATCCGATATAGTGAAATGAAGAAGTATGCGTTGAAGGGAAATAAGCCATTATATATTTCATTACATAACGAAAACATCAATTTATGGAAATGAATCAAGTTGGCTGGATTCGAAAATATAGTGTTAATGGATGTTTAACAAAGAACTTATTCTGAATTATCAATAAAAAAAGTGGACCAAAGAAAAAGTAAAATTGTAAAAAAGCGTGGCTAAATTTTCATTATACCCACCATTTCGGAGCTATGTTAAATGCTGAACTTTCAAAGTATTTATAAATTGGGGGTATTGTTATTTGTGGCCTTTATCCAAATGGCAATGTTAGCAATAACCGAAATACACAATGTCCAGAAAATTGGATGAAAATTTGAATAAAAACATCAAAATAACTACAAGTGGATAAAAACTTCATATGACAAAATTCACCCAAAATTCGTCCGTGATTACAATAAACGGACGAGGCTAAGTCTTCGAAGACTTTTGTTATAATCACAGTCATTTAATATACATATACTATGTGTATTAACACTGTACATACTCTGTTTGGGTATCCATATCCTTGAACTCTATGGTTTCATTTATCAATGTGTCCATTTCGTCGCAATTTCCGTTATCATATAAGACTCCAACATCAGATGAGCTGAATATGCAACATATTTACATTATTTTGTGTATAATAACCCATGTATATACGTACCACTCTTCAATTTGATACCCAACCAAATTGTAAAATGGATTGGGTTCCGCATTGGGTAACAAACTTTTCCTTTGAGGACCTCTTATTACGTAGGATGGAGAAAAATGGTCTTCACATATACACGATTTTGAAGACAATTCCATCCCACATATTTCACTCCAAATACGCTTCCTTTTTTCGTCCTTTGGGACACTAAAAAATGATCCGTTTCCACAAATGTCTTTCTTTTTACAAATGATACACTTTCGCATTTTTTAATAATTATGAATTACTATTTGAAAGATAAAAACAATATTTCAAATTTAAATGAAAATTTAACGTCAAAAAATGTGTTTGACAATTTACTTTACAAAAAAAAGGTAAAAAGTTTGAAACCATATGATTGTCACTTACACCTTATTAAATACACCTTGCGTAAATGTATTCACGAAAAATAAAAAAATCTAATTTCTGTTTTGGTACGTTTTTCTCAATTCGTACCTTTTGTGAACAAAAAGTGCTTACAAAGTGTTACAAAATTAAAAATAGCGCAACTCTAATTACTCTCTCAAGAGAGAGAAACTCTCAACACCAATCCCAATCCAGATAAGTGTAAAACCCCGCTAAAACGGAGCTGGATTGTTTACGAATGATGTGGGATGAAAACTAAAAGAGAACCGCAGGTAGAGAACCGAGCCATACTGAAATGTTAATGTGTAACGGCGTTGCTGGCGTAAAAAGATTTAAAATTAAAAAAAATAAACTAAGTTCATTTACACTGTCTCACGAATTCTCTTAAATCATCTGAAAGGGCACATATTGGTTAACAATTTAGAAAAAATAGGAAGAAAGTAAAAGTAGAGAAATCTCATGATGTATGTTGCTTTTAAAATTGCTTTAATATTAATTAAATTAATAAATAAATTAATTAATCTACTTGCATCGAGCGGCTTTAATTTAATATTTAATGAGAAAATTTACAATTTTTAGTACTTTCAGCCTGTTTTTGTAAAATTCAAAACGAAACAATTCGAACGAATTACTACCAAACCTTTATTTATGTAAAAAATGTTTCTTGATTCAAAACAAAAATAAATGACATATTTTTCAAAACCAAGGAGTTTGGTCGTAAGTCACTCGCTGTTTATGGCACAAAAACAGGATTGTATAGAATAGTATGGTTTTTTAGCTGGTATCATTCATTTTTGTATGATAAATCACGCAAAATTGTGCCGGTTTTAGGTATTAAATGGCGGAACAGTCTAAATTGGATTAGTCGGTAAAAGTCGAAAATCGATTTTGAGCAGGTTTGATAAAATCGAAAGATCGACTTTTTGTTCAGAGGCAAAAGTCGAAAATTCGACTTAATCAGGCTGAATTTACCATGATTTAAGTCACGATCGAAATAATGGTACTACTGATTGCAACGCGGTTTTTGTACGAAGAAATACAAATCTCCCACAATGTACCAAAATTTGCAACTGTTTTCACATGTTGTTTGTTTTTAAATTTAACGGTTGCCAAATACAAAAATAGAAGATCAAAGGAAAATAAATTTTATTTACAGAATTTTTGTGTATTTAGGCGTTTTTTACTTTCGAAACGATCAAAGTATTGCAAAACTGTTTTAATCTTCTTTTCATTTTCAAATAGCAAACAAATATTTTTATCGCAAATTAATAATTTTGTATGTATACTAACAAACATCAGCTGATCGGCATTTAGATTATGATTAAAGGTATGTGTAAACAATTAGGGCGTATTTCTGGATTTCGTTAATCGAGTCAATTTAAAATCGTATATGTAAATGCACCTTAAACGTCAAATTTATTCGATATTTGGCATGGTATAATAATAGAAGATAACAGCAAGTGTTGTTGTACAACAAACGATACAACAACCACATGGAAATTTGTTGTTGTAAGTTATACTAGTGTCAACGTCATTTGACAGAAAACTGTAAACAAACAAAAAAATTATCAACAAATTATATTTATTTTGACAACGTTACCTAAATTCCAACGAAGCGTACACAAAAATTCAACTTCCCCACAATGGCAAAATGTTTTGTACGGCCGTATTACCTAAATACGTCGAATCCATTTCTCTTAGCGAACTAAACAAAATCGCGAAGCAAAATTAAGAAATTATAAAATGTGTTCAAAAATTTTATATTCTTATTAAAAAAATTATATTTCTTTATGTTTTGTTTCTATTTTCAACAAAAAAGTTTTCAAAAAGAACTCCATTTTGTTTTGTGCTCTCATAAATTTGAGTCAATGTTTTACCAGTTTTGTGGGTTGAGGAACGGTTTTCGAGTAAAAAGTTGGAAAACATGTAAAATGAGTAGATTCTTTTAGGTTCTGGAACGGAACTTATTATATGTCTATCGTTCCACATCTTTCCTATAATTGAGTCATTTCCACTTATATTTGTAACACATATGAAAATGCAGGGAATTTCGAGTTATTCAATGAAGAAAGATTTGCTTCCTCAAACTTTCCCAGCAGGCAGATTGTGTAAATTGAATACGGGAGAATATTTAATATAGAACAATTTCAAATTGTATGCGATCCCAATTTTCCTGTTGGGTGATTTTTAAAAACATAAATTGTCAAATTCATATTGACACTAGTATTACGTTGGAATCAAATCAGCTGGGATTTGCTGTTACCTGTTATAATTGTACCATGGATATTTGGTAATAATTGTTACAAATGTTATTGGATATTTTCTTTTTACCCCAAAATCCAGAGAGTGAAATGGGAGAGAGCTAGTTTGACAGTTCTACGCTGAGAACTTACTGAAAGTTACTTGCAAATTTTATTCTAGTAAAATGTATCCAGCACATTTCTACGTATTTCAGCTGTTAATTTTAAATTTCGACCAAAGTAAACAACATTTTTATGAATTTTATTTTATAACAAATTAAAAAAAGTAATTTCATGCATTTTTAATTAAATTGCATAAACATTAGCAGTATCTTGCCGGATGTTGTCTGTTTACATTTTATATTTAATATTAATTTAAGATAATATTTGGATTATTGCCTGGAAAAAATACAGATTAAATTTTACTGGAAAGTAACCAGACACAGCTGTTATGAATGAACTATATTGCCATACATTCCACCTAGGTCCGATTTTTTGTTATTTTCAAGGACTTGGCCACATTTCAAAATATAATTATTTTGGTTCTCAATAGCTTGGCCTGAGACCTGACAAAAAATTAATATTGATTTAGCTAAGTTAAGATTAACCACTAACTAAAAAATATTTTTTATTTTAACAATCATATTGATTAAAAACATTCATAAATATTTTTGGATTTTCGTTCGTTTTATTTAGAAATCTACACTATATTCAATGTGCAAAAGAAATGTGTAAAATTTTATTGTAATACAATTTCTTCTATGTATATAAAAGTTCTTGCACAGATATCGATTATTTTTACTAGTAATTAAGTGCTTAATATTAAATAAAATTATAACAGTTTTACATAATCATTGATATAAGAAACGAAGGGAGTAGTAAAATAAGTTAAATAGTTGTTGTGATAAAAAAAGAAGAACACGAAAATGAAACGAATTTCATGGATGAAATAGAATATTTACTTAATTTACAAAAAGAATTAAATTAGTACATACATACATACAAAAATTTAGTCAAATGAATTTGCAACCAGACAATAGGGTCCTGGGCCGCGCTTTCATTTTACATTGTGAATTCGAATTACATTCGATTCATGCTCGAATTAAATTCACTTGAATAAGGTTCGTTAGTGGGATGATGTTATTGTTGAGTGACATTAGATTGGAGCTACGTAGAATGACAAGAATGTGCGAGCGAGCGAATGATGATGATTCGTTGTTGATAAATAGAGGAAGTTCGTTGTCTTGTGGATGTATGAGTAAACTTACAAATAATAACAAATATTCGGTAGTTACATATATATGTACATAATCATAGTAATAATAATAATAGTTAAACATTACGATAATAATAAAACAAATTGAAAGCGTACTTCTGGCCTCTGAGGCCTAGCGGCGGCGAACAGTGTAACACCTCTTACGCCAAACGCTTTTTTCGACTAGGCGATAAAATCTTAAGCATTGTAACGACTGGAGCTTCAAAGGACATCGAGACCACAAACGAAAGTAGATAGGAGGCGACGACAAAACCAAAGAACATTATTACCTATGAAGAAACAAAATGTATTGGTATTTTAATTAACGCCATTTAAATATCATTCAAGTACTTACCATTGTGTCACCACCCAAATGCAGTGGTGAATCAGTGTTCAGAGCCATTGAACGTATAACTATGGGATGAACCAAATAAGCACAATAAGTTACTCTGGAAAAGGGATACAGACATGGAGCCGAGAGCAATGTATTGACAAAGCCTCCATATCCTGTTGAGCATGCAATGGTTATCCATGCCAATGACAGAGCCCATGCCGAGTGGCTCAATGAACTGTAAAGGGCTGCTGTGAATTGTGACAACTCAGCACGATATAAACCGAACACCAAAACAAACAGGTTCACCGAAGTCAAAGTCCAGGCAATTGCCACTTTGGTTTTCGATAAACGTATCTTGCAATTGGTGCGGAACAGAATCCACCCAACAGCCATACCAATCAAATATGGTCCCAAACGAGTCCATGGCTTGTCATAAATCTTGTCGAACAAAGCCAAGGGATCATCGGTATCGGGTCGATGATTATTACTGAATGCGATCACAGCCGTTGTTATCCAAGAAAGCACTAAAAAGACACCTGTAGTTACGGCTGATAATTTGAAATGGCGAACTCCCACAATAAGGATCAGAGCACCAATGATGTAAAACTGGGTGTCATTTGCCAAATACCAACTCCATAACATACACTAGAGGTGGAAAAAACGAGATAGCAAAGATAAAATTAAAACAATCTATTCAAAACTTTTGAACTCACCATTTGCTCGACGGGGAACAGTGTGTTAATGTAGAGGGCATTGCGCCACCAATAATCTGGACATGTTATGTGATCCATTGTGGGCGGGTCAAATATCGAATATGTAGCCAAATATTTCATGGACACCTGAACGACACCCAAAACAAACATATAGGGAGCGGTCAATCTGTAAATGGAAATTTAAAATTATTTAAAATATATATATTCTTTTCTCTGCGTTTCAGTACTAACCTCATAAAACGGTATATAACCAAACCGAAGAAGTGTGCCGTACATCTGGTAAATTCATTTGTTCCTTTTATAAGTTTATTTAATTTGCCTTTGGCATTTGTGCGGAAGTACAAATAAGACACCAGACATCCACTTATAAAGAAGAATGTGTCTACACTAAATGGTCCATTAGTTATGGCCTGGAAGAAGAAATTCTTTTCGACATCTTTGCGCAGCTCCATATTGTCAGAATATTTAAAGATAACAATGCAGGTATGACCCAGTATAACCCAAGCCATTGAGAAAGCTCTCAAACCGTGAATGGAAGGAATCGTATCGGCGCCCACATTACGATCACAAATCGCATTGAAATTTGTTATGGCCGAAAAGGAGAGTAACAGCTCTGAATAGATACTAAGTTTTTCCGGTTCGTGTAGATGTCCTTCTAAATGTTCATCCGAGGTGCTTGTACTCGTTTCCGGACCACATTCCGTGACAGTGTGTGGCAAGTTCAGAACAATATTCAAATCCTTAAGTGTTTCCTTTTTCAATGACTCATTCGTTACAGAATCACTGTAGTCTGAGGATGCACAACCAATACCCGATGATGTTTCACTGTTATTCATCATTTCTTTGTCCTGACGACGTAACGCTTCACGGAAACGTCTTCTCAAGTAAACTTCATATAAAGTCCCGGCAAATATTAGACAAGCTACAATTGTTGAGACCACGCTAAAAATCAATGAAAAAAAATAAAAAATTGAACATTTTTTTGAAAAACATTTCTATTTCAAAATACTAACATTAAAATCCAGAATGTCCGATCCTCGAAAATGTTAAATTCTTTGTCGGTAGGTACACGAACATCTAGAAATGCAATTTCGTGCGAATCAATGGGACGTTGGGCACGAAGAGCAATTTCTTTTACATCTTCACTGCTACATGTTGATGGCAAGCAAACCCCAAGGTAGATTGTTCTAATCTGGAAATGAAAAGAAGAAAAAAAACATCAGTGTTTATCATAAATGATTATATGAAGACTAATTGGCTAATGAATCATGCTATGTTTTCCTTATTGATTTAGCTATTCTACAACTGCAAGAATCTAATCTAAGAATAAACTATTTCTTTTTTTTCAAAAAATTTACTCTTAAAGTTTTTCTGGTAGCATCAGTATTCTGGCCAGATGTGACATTAAAAAAAATACATATGTCTACATATATTAAAAACAGTGAGCGGAGCAGTATAGTCGAACGGGGCCGACCATATGATACCCTACACAACTTCCACGAAAATCGAAAATTCTGTGTTGCTACATTCTGAGCTTCGGCAATACTTCGCGATATTTGCACCCTCATGATCGACTAGAGGTCAACAAATATTATTATTATTACCAATATTCAGTACCGCCCTTCTAATTACTTGTCCAGATTTCCTTCACCGTGAGTTGTGTTGTAATGTTCGGCTTTAAATTTTTTCCTATAGATCGACTCAAAAAATAATACAAAAAAGAAAATCATTTTTCGGTCCACTTCATCCCAATATTATTATCTGATTAATATTATCTGATCATCACCCAAAATTATGTCCTCTTAGAAAGTTTCAAAGCGATCCGCGCTATCTTTTCGCCCTCTAATGTGGTAATGGGATACAAAAAAATATATATGAATACGTAAGCACCTGCAAATCTGAGTATATACGACAATATATTTATTTATTTATACATATCTATTTATAATACAATTATAAGAGATACTTCAGGATTAAGCTATGACAGCTATGGTCTTAAGCTTATGTTTTTTTATAATGATGTACTTTAAATAAGGTTATACAAATTACATTTTTTGATATATTTTAAAATAAGTTCTATGTTTTCTGGTGTTAAATTATTTAGAATATTCAAAATATTAGTTTCTGCAAATATGTTTTGTCTTTTGGTTTGGAAATAATTACAGTAAGCTAGTATATGTTTTAAATTTATTTCTGTGTTATTACAATATGGGCAAATATTACTGACATTTTTGTCTATAATGTGAGTATGGGTTAATTTTGTATGACCAAGTCTTAGTCTAGCGATTATTATTTGATCTCTTCTAGAAAGGTTCATGCTCTGATTATTTTTTAATATCTCAATTATGTTTTTTTTATCTTTATTAGTTTCTTGGAACCATTTTGATGTTTTCGCCCATGACATTTTTTTTGTTTCTCTAAATTTAATTTTAATAAAATTATTTATATCAGCAATATTTAGGTTATTGGAGGTTATTAATGGGGATTTTGTGGCAATCTTAGCTGCTTTGTCGGCTAGTTCGTTTCCATATATTTGTGTATGACTGGGTACCCAGATAATCAGTACCTTTTCTCCCAATCTTATGAGAAGTTGTCTAAATACGACAATATAATTGGCATCAATTTAAAGGCCAACGACTCCTCTTGGATATACTATCAACTTCTGGGGGTATTGACCGATCTTTATCAAAACAGGCATGTTTATTCTTTGGTCCGATCCCCTTCTCCATGTAAAATTTCACGATGTTCGGACCCTAACTGCGGCCTCTGGAGCGACCAGAAAAACCGACAAAAATTATGATATCGAAGAAAAGTTAATAAAGTTAATAGTTTGGTTCGTTTAGTTTGAATTGTAAACATTATTACAAACTGATGTTCGTTTACCCAAAAGTTCAGTATAAGAGAGTGAATTGAGAGAACAGGTTTGACAGTTGTGTCACTGAGTATTTGCAAAATTTATTCAGTAAGAATTTTCTTGTACCATCAGCTGATATTTAATCACATGTTTTGTAAACAAACAACAAACTTGTGCTCAAGTAAATTGATTGTTTTATGAATTTTATTTCGATTTTGTATCATGAAACATTAAAATGGATGAAAAACCCAAGTATTTATAAACAACATAAATTGTTCACTTGTTATCCAATTTTCTAATAAAAATGCAGCCTTTTAATTGTGCCAAATTGTTTCTTTAAATTAGGAGTGTCTATAAATCTTTTTACGGGATGTTGTTCGTTTACTTTTCGAAATTTTCTTGTAGATCTAATAGTACGTTTACATCATGGCACATTAAATAGGTAGTCCATTTAGCACAGCTGATGTCTCGATTAACTGTCAAAGTGGGTAATTTCTACTTGAATTCGATGTGCAGTGTTGCCAACCATGTAAAATATTATAAGGAAAAATTTGACACATGGTCGAGACAAAAACAAATATTTTTGTTTTGATACATCACCTTATTATTGCATCATGGTTTACATTATACCGGATTTCATTAATCCAGTGGGTTTAAATTGTCTATACCATTGTATAAATATCAAAAAAATCCGCATATAGCCCGGTAAAAAGTTCTATGTAACTTCCATTAAAATAATATGTACTGGGTAATAGTACATAATAGGTATGTTAGTTTATCAATAATTTGTACAAATATTAGGTATGTTCGTTTACTCAATAATTTATACAAAAGTGTACAAATAGTTACTGGATGTTGTCCGTTTACGCAAAAGTCTACTAAAAGAGAGCGAATTGAGAGAGAAAATTTGACAGTTGTGTTACATATTATTTGCAAAATTTTTAATGGGAAAATTTACCCAGTAAAGATTTCCCGTAACATAAGCTGATATTTCATCAGGTATTTTGTTATAATTTCTAAACAAACTAAACAATTTGTTTACAAAAAACATGAATGTTGGCAAAGTTTATTTTGATTTTCTCTTTCCTTTCAATTTCATAATAAAAATGCTGATATTTGACAGATGGTCGGGTAAAAAACAAATATTTTTGTTTTGATATATCACATTACTATTGAATCATGGATACAAATTTTTTACTGAATGTTGTTCGTTTACTTTTGGCAAATCTCTCTCTTAAGTCTCTCTTAGTAAAATCTTACTGAGTAAATGTTAGTGGAAAAGTAAACGGACATTCCTTGTGTTCCTTTTAAGATCAGATTTGAACACAAACAAATGTTGGAATAAATTTGTTTTTATTTTCATATCGAATTTGTTCAGTAAACTTGAGATATAGCTGATTTTCTTGAATGATTTTTAAGTAGGTAATGGTAGAAGCCATGGTATAATAATAGAAGGTAACAGCAAGTGTTGTTGTACAAAAAACCATACAACAACCACATGGAAATTTGTTGTTATAAGTTCTACTTGTTTTTGACAGAAAAATGTAAACAAACAAACAAAACACATTAATAAATGTTGAACCCTCAAAATAAAAATTTGAAAATCTATCAAATTTATATTTTTCGCTTCCACATCTTTCATAATTGAGCCATTGCCATATATAGTAACACATATAGCTGATTTTCCTTGAAGTAAGATTTGCTTCCTCAAACTTTGAATTTTTCAAAGTAGGTAATGGTATTACGTTGGAATCAAATCAGCTGGGAACAATTAGCAAAAATTTTGATTTTGAAAGTATGTTGAAAAATCATTCAATACTTACAACATTTGTGGGAAATGTTTCATTGAGTAACATTTTGATAATATAAAATCCTGGTACAAATGATGGATTCTCATTGTAAACTGTGGTGTATGCCTGTGTGTGTGCCTTGGCAAAGGGTAAACCGGAATTTTTAGCTGCCTGTCTGCGAGCCGCTTCATCCTCCTCATTGTCTTCGTGATAGATTGCCTTACACAGTGACATTGAACCCATCCAATAGTTATTGCCATAAAAGAAACCCGAAGCATAATGTCCGGAAGCATCGTCCACTGTAAATGGAAGAAAAGCGAAAAAGAAAAGAGATTAGTATTTTATTACAAAACAAGGGCAAAAAAGGCTTCCACCTAAACATAAGTTATGTATATATGTTTATTTAATTGTTGTAATTTTAAAAAATAGAAACAAACAGAGTTGAAAGGACAACTACTGTATATTTGGAATTTCCTGTTACCAATTATCTATTTGTGTCTGTGTTTTTTTCTTTTTCAATGGGAATTCCCAAATTAAAACATTCATAGTTAACAAGCATCAGGTTTAGCAGCAGCATTACCACGACCACCACCACTGTGCCATTGTTTGTGTTGGACTATGACTGAGTCTGCTGGAGGCATTTACAATTATTACATAACCCAATTTGTGGTTGGTAGTGGCACTACTTTTTCTTTAACCAAGTTGATGGCTTTTATTGCCATCTAGTTTTGTAACAAATTGTTGGGGTATTTCAGTAATATTTTTGTTGTTGCTATATTAGTTTTGGAATTTTGTTTATTCGGGGAGTTCTTCAAAAAAGCTTAAAGCCTCATGCGATTAATGAAAATGTGGAGATGCCACTCTATGGACTCAAATTTTCGATGCAACGCTATAAATCAGAATTTTTCAATATCTTTTCGAATTTCCTCAAAAATAATGACATGATGAAGAAGATATTTCACTTTTTGATTTCCATAATGATTATTTGGATTATGGAATTTATATAAATTTTGTGATCTATAGAAGCATTAATATGGCAACATTAACATGCTGGAACATTCCAAATAAAAAGAAAAAACAACAACGATAACCACTTTAGAGTTGTTTGCACATATTCCGCAATGCACTTTGCCTCACAATAACAACAACAAGACAAATATCTGAGGCTTTTGACAAAGCCAATGTTGAATGTTTGCCACACGCTTGCAACCCGGCAGGCGAATACAACAGACCAGACCATGCAGCAAGCAACCACTTGTTGTTGCTCGTTACCTTAATGCACAGTTTGGACAACGTAATACATAACTACAGCTGAATATTGTTTGTCTGTTACACGATACAAATATAAAAAAAAAAAAACAATTTATACAAAAATGCCTCGTTCAAGTTTCAATTTCCACATACAAAAAACTCGACTTAAAACCGGAATAGATACATTTTTCATAGCAGTTTTTTTTTCTTCTTCTTAAAAACTATAATTGGCAATTCTATGTAAACAATTCTGTTGCTTTGCAGACCTTGATCAAGGTGAAGATCAAATTTGAAGTTTTTTAGAACTATTAGAAAATTGGTAAGCAAGGCAAATGTTTTTGTTGTTTGTTTTAAATTTAAGTTTAAAATTTTGAGATCTTACATAATAGTACGTTTACATTTATTCGGATTTCGTTAACCCAGTGGGGTTCAATTGTCAATTCCTTTGCATATATGTCAAATAAATCCTCATAATGTAGGTTAAACCGGTAAAAAGTTATAATGTATAGTTCCGTTCCAGAACCTAAAAGAATCTACTCATTTTACATGTTTTGCAACTTTTTACTCGAAAACCGTTCCTCAACCCACAAAACTGGTAAAACATTAAATCAAATTTAAGAGAGCACAAAACAAAATGGCGTACTCTTTGTAAACTTTTTACTCGAGAAATTTGGCCGAGTAAAAATGGTAAACAGGAATGCCTACTTCTGATTGGCTGTTATGTTGATTTTGAAGTATTGCCATCTACTTTTGACATATTTGCTAGATTTGCGTTCCCGAATTTTTCAAATTATTTTAAACTCTGAGAGCAATTTTGAAATGTTTCCCTTTTACTAGATTTACTATTAAAAAGTACTGGAACAGACCATATATGCCATTTAATGCCTGATGAACATAGTTCCTTATACTATACATAATACTCAACGAACTTAAGCGCCATGATAATTTTTGGGCGTTACTGGGCAGGCTAATGGCGCCCAATCTCCCTTTGACCATAACGCCTAAACACAACCGGCTACAACGCCCACATTTTGTGCTCGAAAAAAAATGCAATTTCTTTACAATTTTTTTCTCGAGAATTTCGTACAAGTAAATATAGTGACAATAACGACATAAGGTCAGTATTTTGAATACTTTTATATGCTAGTTTTTTCTTTCCAAATTGATGCCTTCTGTACTAGTTCCATGTTTAATCCAAAAATATTTGGACGGAAACCTACTTTTTTATCCTTAAGAGACCCAGAAGAAGTTACATAGGCAGACAAATTAGGATATATTTATTCAAGTAAATTGTTGGAAGCATTGGCATGGAATGTAAGTCGTTTGCCAGAGGATAATTCAGCGTGCAAGGTTAAAACATATTTTTGATAACAATATAAACACTCACATTTTTCATCAACAAATTAAATCGCCACCATTATCGTGCAATATGTCGGAAATATAATTCCGCAGAACTTCATCTTTATCTACTTCCTCCCAACCTTTTGATGTTCCAACCAAGCAGGGTTTTACACTTATCGGGATTGAGAGTTTCTCTCTATCTCTCTCTCTCTCATTGATAAATTGTTAATTGAGTTGGAAAACATTATCACTGGTAGGAACAAGAAAGTACGAAAAGGTAGCTAAAATTGTACTTCAAATGATAATAAATCATAATTATCGAGAAATATTGGCCAATACTTATACCAGTTATTTGCATAAATAATATATCTTATAATTTAAGCGTAAATGTATTCACGAATAATAAAAAAAATCTACTTTTTGTTTTGGTACGTTTATGTCAATTCGTACCTTTTGTGAACAAAAAGTACGCTTGTTACAAAATTAAAAATAGCGCAACTCTAATTACTCTCAATTTACCACTGAGAGAAAGAAACTCTAAACACCAATCCCAATAAGTGTAAAACCCTGCCAAGTCTGCATGGCCAATAGCGGATATATAATTTATGTTTCCTGGCTCTAGGATCAATTTCATTGCGCTCATATTTGTCTTCATTTGCTTGAAATTAGTATTGTTAGTATTATTCATCACGATGAACGCAACGATAGGGATAGGGATATCTAGTTCACGGAGTGGATCGATCTTTATCGTTCCTTTTTAAAAAATGAATTAGTTCCTTTGCACCATATAGTTCCGACACCTAGTTTGTTTTAGATCTCTTTTTGTCTTTCATCGTTTTTTTTTGTTTGTTTTTCGTTCACATGGTTCCGTTGATGGATAAAAAAGTAAAGAAATTGAGCAAAAATGGAAAAATGTTGATATTCGTTAATTTTTATTTGGTAGAATATTTAAAAGCCACATATTTCAAGTGCACGATGATAACACAATTTTTTTTAAATGAACTTTTTCCTTAATATAGTTCACTTGTTTCGTATAGTTCCTCTGCTCCCCACAATTCCGACTCCTACATTGTTCATTTGAATCTCTCTCTTTCACATAGTTCCGAGTTGAAACAAATTGAGCACAAATTACTAAGATAGTTGTTATTTGTAAATTTATATTTTATTGAATGTTCAGAAGCTACAGAATTTGCACAATAATAAACTGACGAGAATTTTTACATATTTTTAAGAATATGGCAGCAAGCACGAATGAAGAATATGGAATTATAATAAAGCAACCAGATTGGAAAAAGGATCTATAGGACTAAATAACCAATGAACTAGTTCGTTCCGGAATTACCCAACTCAAGATTTCAAATTAGTTGACACCATACGTAGATCTGGAGAATTGTGACACAGTTTTCTTTTTTTCCTTCCTACAAAATGAGGACCACTCAATTAGCTCTACTAGAGATGTATCTTGCTGCATATTTCTTAGGATAGAATTTCATGACACCTAGTACTAGAGGATCACTGGTTTCGAATTGATTTGTATTGTTTTTATTTCTTGGATATATTCCTGGAATACCTCCAGTTCAGCAATACTTTGTATTACTGATTTTGCAACACGATGATATTGGGCGCCATTGTAAAAGTGTCCAGCATAATAATTAATTAAAATAATTAAATAAGTATTATTAAGTATGTGATAATACAAGGTATTTTACAATTATACAAGCTATGGAAGCTTTTGTCAGAAAGGAGAAAATACACCTCTACTTTATGGGCAATAATGTCAGAATAAATGAAAACAAATGCAACAAGTCGTTCTGTTCACTTGACATATTTTTAAAATTTTACCAAAACCGCGAAAAATGAATGGGATGTCAGGTTTTCTTTTCAAAATCCAGTTGCGGAAATGATTTACATATTGATTCATGCACAAAACATACATTTTTTCTTACAAATGTTGTAAAATTCATCTTCAAACAAATCGATTTTCGAATATATATATTGTTATATTTTTCAAAACATTACACACACATTTTGTATATGACTTTGGCATAACAAGCCACAGTTGGTATGATTGCCGATAACTGGCACATCCGAATCTCAAAATTCCAACGCAATTAAAAAGAGTACATATCTGGTTCAGGTATGAACTAGTATTATTGACTTTGCTCAAAAATTAGCAAAGCTGCCATCCCAGGAAAATTGTTTTTTAGAAAATCGCCCATTTTCGACCAAAACCCAAGCCCGAATATGAGGAAGATCTTGGCCGATTACATTTATCGTAGTTCATACGATAGCTTTTTAGTCCAGCTAGCTATGTAGTTTTAATTTGGAACTGATTGGATTATTCGTTTTTGAGTTATTGTGCCCGAAATGCGTAGAAACTCTGTTTCGAGAAAAACATATTAATGCGTTGAGAAATGCTCTCGCTTTCACCTAACGCTTACACAATAAATCGATTATATCATCAAGAGTTTTATAGAATTTTCACTTGGAATTTTATAAAGGAATTCTTGTGAAGTTATAGGTTCAAAAATAGATCTTTTGAAACCGAGAATGGGGTCCCCTTAAATCACACAAACCGACCTGTCAATACTTGTGTTTTGTTAACTTCAAATTCTAAAATAATATACCAGTGCAATAATCAGAAGCATTAGTAGTTGAGCAAGCAGATAAGGCAGCTTTGGAGAGTTTGAGAGAAAAATTCTTCAAA